CCAAATAGAAGATATAACAATTGTAAATATTTATGCACCCAACATAGGAGCACCTCAATACATAAGGCAAACGCTAACAACCATAAAAGAGGAAATCAACAGTAACACAATCATAGTAGGGGACTTAACACCCCACTTTCACCAATGGACAGATCATCCAAAATGAAAATAAATAAGGAAACACAAGCTTTAAATGATGCATTAAACAAGATGGACTTAATTGATATTTATAGGACATTCCATCCAAAAACAACTGAATACACTTTCTTCTCAAGTGCTCATGGAACACTCTCCAGGATAGATCAAGCCTTGGTAAATTTAAAAAAACTGAAATCGTATCAAGTATCTTTTCTGACAACAATGCTATGAGACTAGATATCAATTACAGGAAAAAAACTGTAAAAAAATACAAACACATGGAGGCTAAACAATACACCACTTAATAACCAAGAGATTACTGAAGAAATCAAAGAGGAAATCCAAAAATACCTAGAAACAAATGGCAATGAGAAAACGATGACCCAAAACCTATGGTATGCAGCAAAAGCAGTTCTATGAGGGAAGTTTATAGCAATACAATCCTACCTCAAAAAACAAGAAACATCTCAAATAAAAAACCTAACCTTATACCTAAAGCAATTAGAGAAAGAAGAACAAAAGAAAACCCAAAGTTAGCAGAAGGAAGGAAATCATAAAGATCAGATGAGAAATAAATAAAAAACAAATTAAGGAAATGATAGCAAAGATCAATAAAACTAAAAGCTGGTTCTTTGAGAAGATAAACAAAATTGATAAACCATTAGCCAGACTCATCAACAAAAAAAGGGAGAAGACTCAAATCAACAGAATTAGAAATGAAAAAGAAAAAGTAACAACTGACACTGCAGAAATACAAAGGAACATGATAGATTACTACAAGCAACTATATGCCATAAAATGGACAACCTGGAAGAAATCAACAAATTCTTAGAAAAGCACAACCTTCCAAGACCGAACCAGGAAGAAATAAAATATAAACAGACCAATCACAGCACTGAAATTGAGACTGTGATTAAAAATCTTCCAACAAAAAAAAGAAAACTACAGGCCAATATCACTGATGAGCATAGATGCAAAAATCCTCAACAAAATACTAGCAAACAGAATCCAACAGCACATTAAAAGGATCATACACCATGATCAAGTGGGGTTTATTCCAGGAATGCAAGAATTCTTCAACATACGGAAATCAATAAATGTGATATGCCATATTAACAAATTGAAGGAGAAAAGATGATCATCTATGATCATCTCAATAGATGCAGAGAAAGATTTTGACAAAATTCAACACCCATTTATGATAAAAACCCTACAGAAAGTAGGCATAGAGGGAACTTACCTCAACATAATAAAGGCCATATATGACAAACCCACAGCCAACATTGTTCTCAATGGTAAAATAATGAAACCATTTCCACTAAGATCAGGAATAAGACAAGGTTGCCCACTCTCACCACTCTTATTCAACATAGTTTTGGAAGTTTTAGCCATAACAATCAGAGAAGAAAAAATAATAAAAAGGAATCCAAATCAGGAAAGAAGAAGTAAAACTGTCACTGTTTGCAGATGACATGATACTTTAGATAGAGAATTGTAAAGATGCTGCCAGAAAAACTACTAGAGCTAATCAATGAATTTGGTAAAGTAGCAGGATACAAACTTAATGCACAGAAATCTCTTTCATTCCTATACACTAATGATGAAAAATCTGAAAGAGAAATTAAGGAAACACTCCCATTTACCACTGCAACAAAAAAGAATAAAATACCTAGGAATAAACCTACCTAAGGAGACAAAAGACCTGTATACAGAAAACTATAAGACTCTGATGAAAGAAATTAAAGATGATACAAACAGATAGAGAGATATACCATGTTCTTGGATTGGAAGAATCAACATTGTGAAAATGACTATACTACCCAAAGCAATCTACAGATTCAGTGCAATCCCTATCAAACTACCAATGGCAGTTTTCACAGAACTAGAACAAAAAATTTCACAATGTGTATGGAAACTCAAAAGACTCCGAATAGCCAAAGCAATCTTGAGAAAGAAAAATAGAGCTGGAGGAATCAGGCTCCCTGACTTCAGACTATACTGCAAAGGTACAGTAATGAAGACAGTATAGTACTGACACAAAAACAGAAATATAGATCAATGGAACAGGATAGAAGGCCCAGAGATAAACCCATGCACATATGGTCACCTTATCTTTGATAAAGGAAGCAAGAGTATGCAATGGAGAAAAGGCAGCCTCTTCAATAAGTGGTGCAGGGAAAACTGGACAGCTACATGTAAAAGAATGAAATTAGAACACACCGTACACAAAAATAAACTCAAATTGGATTAAAAATCTAAATTTAAGGCCAGACACTATCAAAATCTCAGAGGAAAACACAGGCAGAACACTCTATGACGTAAACCACAGCAAGATCCTTTTTGACCCACCTCCTAGAGAAATGGAAATAAAAACAAAAATAAACAAATGGGACTTAATGAAACTTAAAAGCTTTTGCAAAGCAAAGGAAACTATAAACAAGATGAAAAGACAGCCCTCAGAATGGGAGAAAATATTTGCAAATGAAGCAACGGACAAAGGATTAATCTCCAAAATATACAAGTAGCTCATGCAGCTCAGTATCTAAAAAACAAACAACCCACTCCATAAATGGGCAGAAGACCTAAACAGACATTTCTCCAAAGAAGATATACAGATTGCCAACAAACTCATGAAAGGATGCTCAACATCACTAATCATTAGAGAAATGCAAATCAAAACTATAATGAGGTATCACCTCACACCAGTCAGAATGGGCATCATCACAAAATCTACAAACAATAAATGCTGGAGAGGGTGTGGAGAAAAGGGAGCCCTCGTGCACTGTTGGTGAGAATGTAAATTGATACAGCCATTATGGAGAACAGTATGGACATTCCTTAAAAAACTAAAATTAGAACTACCATACGACCCAGCAATCCCACTACTGGGCATATATCTTGAGAAAACCATAATTGAAAAAGAGACATGTACTATACAATATTAATTGCAGCTCTATTTACAATAGCCAGGACATGGAAACAACCTAAGTGTTCATTGACAGATGAATGGATAAAGAAGATGTGGCACATATATACAATGGCATATTACTCGGCCATAAAAAGAAATGAAATTGAGTTATTTGTAATGAGGTGGATGGACCTAGAGACTGTCATACTGAGTGAAGTAAGTCAGAAAGAGAAAAATAAATATCGTATGCTAACATATATAAATGGAATCTAAAAAGAAAACAAAAAAATTATTCTGAAGAACCTAGGGACAGGACAGGAATAAAAACGCAGACGTAGAGAATGGACTTGAGGACACGGGGAGGGGGAAGGGTAAGGTGGGATGAAGTGAGAGAGTGGCATGGATTTATATATACTAACAAATGTAAAATAGATAGCTAGTGGGAAGCAGATGCATAGTACAGGGAGATTAGCTCTGTGCTTTGTGACCACCTAGAGGGGTGGGATAGGGAGGGTGGGAGGGAGACGCCAGAGGGAGGAGATATGGGGAAATATGTGTATGTATAGGATTCACTTTGTTATAAAGCAGAAACTAACACACCATTGTAAAGCAGTTATACTCCAATAAAGATGTTAAAAATAATATTAATTAATTAATTAAAAGATAAATAAATAACTGAAGTTTGGAAAGTTCCATACAAGTGGTGGAAATTAGGAAAAGTGGGATGAACAACACAAGTCAATCGTGTGGGCTAGGAAGGAGGAGAAAAGAGAAGGGGTTTGTAAGTTGGTATAACTTGATAGCAGCTGGGCTTTGATGCAGAAAAGATGGGTCTGTTTGGTGTGGTAGGGAGAGCCCACAGTTTCTTTTCCTTCTTCCCTGCCTGTCTCCCTTCCTTCTTCCTTACGCAGAAGGAACCTCAAATGTCAGCAGTCTTATCACAGTGAAAGACAGAGACAGATGAAAATGGCATTGAACCAGGGGATTTAGAGAGATTAGCTTTCATATTCCCTAATTGTTTTAAGCTATTGGGCGTGTGAAAGTTTTATTGGTTGTGGTCAAGTCACATAAAGTACTGGTGTCATCAAAGAGTTATTTCTACCTTTCCCAGGTTACTTTTTATTTAAAATGATTTGTCTAAATCTTCAGAATGTTTAGATTTAAAATGTTGATCATCTGATTTCCACCCTTGATGTGAATGATTTTCATGTTCAAGGAAGACAATATCTCAACACATGTATTAAAGTTAGTTTCTCACCAACCCACCCTCAAAGGACAAAGAAAGCAAAAGCTGAGATGTGGGGGGGAACGTCTACGTTTAAATTGATTTAATTAAATTGATTTAATCATAACCGAGTAATGGTTGGGTCCTCACTGTAGGATAGTTAGCATATCAGCATTTGGCATGAGAAGAGCCACTTGAATTAAATATTTCTAAAGACTTCTGATGTTTCAGGTACTGATAATGTCTTACTGCTGTTGTGAAAAATCTACTGTTGAATCTCTCTTTCTCTCTCTATTGCTGTGCTCTCCCTGCCCCCTCAAATGTTATAAAGAAACCAAGGCCTTGGAAGTCTTATTAAAGTTAATCAAAGGACTGACAAAAACAAGAAAGTAACTTAACTATATTATTGATAGGTAACTTTCATAACAAAAATGAATTTAATACCAGTATAATAATCTTCTCCAAAAGCTTGAATTAATCATCAATAATATGGAATGTGTATATAAAAAATACTGTGGGAATACTTTGAAACTGATCTAATTTTCTTTTAAGAGGTGAAGACCTTGATAATGTTATCAAAGTGAATCCCAAAGAAAGTGAAAACACCACTGGGTAAGACTGATTAGTATCTTTAAATCTGATTTCTGTAAGTGACAATAAGATAAAATGATTTGGCATTTTAACTTTAGAAATGTGTTTTACTGGCATGGAATCGGATAATAATGATAGGCCACATGACCTTTCCTCCTTGCTCCCAATAAAATTGCTTATTTTTGAAGAATTGCTCCAATGTTTAATAGTAAGTTGCCTTTTCTCCCAGATTTTGATTTGGTTTTAGGGGTGAGTTACTGAATTGAATTTCTTTGGATCTAAAGAAAGCACAATCTTGACAATATTTTAAAAGTGGATCTCCAAAATGACAATGATAGCCAAGAGTGAGTGTTGACTAAAACTACTGAAAATCAACTTCTTTGAGCATGGTGGTCTCAGAAGGCAGCCCAGGGGAGGGGCTGGGCAGATACACACACTGGGAGGAAGAACATCCCACCACTTCTCTTCTTCAGGACTATGTTGACAAGGCAGCAGTACTTAATCACGATACCTCTGCCATCTTCCACTGCCCACTTTGGGTTCGAGCTATGCCCCTTTTGGTATTACTCAGTTCATTTTAATGGAGGTGACATGTGTCTCCCCAAGAAGTGTCATTAATTTTCCTACCATGTAAGGTATTTTTTCTTGCTCTTATAATTCACCATAATCTAATTATATTTTAAAAGGGGGAATGGTTGCGTTTATATGAAGACATATATTTTTTAAATTATTTTTCATATTGTTAAACTATTATCATCTTTTACATTATTCTTATTATTTAAAAACAGAATAGGCAATTATATCTGATTTGTTAGATGGAAATTTACATTCTATCTGGATCCAGTATAGAACTTTATCTAACTCAGCATTACTTCAGTGTCACCCATCTGGGGTGTTCTAACAAGATGTATCTGAGGGCAAAGCTGATTTTGTTAAATAACAAGTTTCACGTACACTTATGCATTTTGAGAATGAAACAAAAACATCATATGTTTCTTGTTGGTAAATTAAGAAACTTAAATGGTCTTCAGCTCAAGAAGTAAGAGAAGAATTTTCATTTGCATTTAGAGCTTTAAAAATTACATTGATAGAGAACGTGTATACTTACCACTTCTTAATTTTGCCAATCATTGTTCACTTGATCAGTGTTTTATTTTAATGACATTCATTAAAACTCATTTCCTTATTCAAAGGAAAGAAGACCTCAATGGGCTTATTAAAGAGAATCCTGAAACAAATAAAAATATCAAGGGGTAAGTAATTTAAAGCTTTTTATTTCTCCTTTGGCATTTATAAACACATTGGAATTCTGAGTGCTTGCATTCAGGAGAGCAAATTGAAATTCAAACCGAACTGAACTCTTTTTTTCCACATACGTCATATTAAGCAATTCTATATGAGTGATACACAGAGTGACCTCTTGCGTTTTATTCTCAGGTGACATTTGCTATAAGGTAGATTTTGAGAAATTAAATGAGAATTTGACTACCCTCCTCTACTATTTATTTCTTTGTGTGTAAGTGTATGTGTGTGTGTGTGTGTGTGTGTGTGAGTCTGTATGTGTATGTGCATGTGTAAATAGTGTGTTACGTATAAATGTGTGTATATATTAGTGTATATGTATAAGTGTGTTGGTATAAGTGTATGTGTGTGTATTAATCAGGGTTCTCCAGAGAAACAGAACAATAGAATAGAGAGAGAGAGAGAGAGAGAGAGAGAGAGATTTATTATAAGGAATTGGCACATGCCCTTCTGGAGGCTGAGAAGTCTCAAGACCCATCGTTGGCAAGCTGGAGACCCAAGAGAGACAATAGTAGTTCCAGTTCAAGTTTGAAGGCCTGAGGACCAAGAGAGCCCATGGTTAAGTTCCAGTCCAAGGGCAAGAGAACAAGGTCTTAGGTCAAGCAGTCAGGCAGGCAAAGTCTCTTCTTAACTCAGCATTTGGTTCTATTCAGTCTTTCAGCTGCTTGGCTATGGCCCACCCATGTTAAGGACGGCCATCTGCTTTACTCAGTCTACAGATTCGCATGTTAATCTCATCCCAAAACACTCACAGACACACCTGGAATAATATTTGACGAAATATCTGGGCACTCTGTGGCCCAGTCAAACTGACACATGAAATTAACCATCACAATGCATATATATATATATATATATATATATATAAACGTATGTGTGTATGTATAAGTAGTGTGTGTGTATGTTTGCATAAATAGCATATATAAACAAGTCTGTGTCTGTGGGAGTGTAAGTAGTGTGTGTGGATGTGTTTATGTACAAACTGTGTGTGTACATGTGTACTGTGTTTGTGTGTAGTGTGGGTATGTGTATATAGTGCAGTGTATGTTTAAAGATGAAGAGCTTAACAAAGTGTACCTTGTAAACGAATTACCCTACCCATGAATTGTCAAGTAAATCTGGAAAGCTTATGTCCTCTTGCTTCTTTTTTTATTTTTTAAAAAACAGATGGAACATATCTGAAACTGAGCTTGTTGATGTGTTGCTGAAAAGTATACCGAATAATTCCATGTGGTTTCTTTTGAACTCCTTTCCATTCCATTCACTCAGTACGTGTTATTATGCATTGATTCTAAAATGTGTCACTGATGCCTGCAGGCCCTGTCAGCAGAGCCTGGCTGGCTGAAAGCTGGTGTGTGCTGTCAGGCCGTCCTGTTCTCAGCAGCAGTGTGGTTGCAGGCCCAGTGACCCTATGAGTTGCAGACGTGTACAGTTTTGCAACCGACAGACTGAGAAGAGAGCACTGACTTCCTTGGTTACCTGGGTATTTCAGGGAGGTAACTTGAGGTTGGGAGCAGGGAGTCTAAAAGACCCGGGTTCAAATTCTGGCTCTGTCACTTGCTAGCTGTGTCCCCATGCTTCAGTTTACTCATCTACAAAATAGGGATCATAATACTGTCATGCCTGGCACATAGTAGATACAAATAGTTTTAGCAATGATAAAGATTCACGTGAATTGTGTTTTCTTAATAATTTAGATTCTGTTCAAATATTTAACTTACTTTGACTGTCCAAGAAAAATTCATGTTTTTCCTTTCTAATTTTTATTAAAAAGAGTATTTCAAATCATCACCTATTGTTTTTCATAGGTTGGGGTGTGCGTGTGTGTGCCTATGTGTACACATGTGTAGACACACATGCAAATGTGTGCATTCATGTGTGTATGCTTGTGTGTGCATTCATGCGTGTATGCCTACATGTGTGAGTGCATACGGGTGTGTGTCTGTGCAAACAAGTGAAAATGTGTGTTTGATTGTGTACATGTGTACACATGCTTGTGTGTGCCTAAATATATGTGTGAGTATATACGTGTGCTTTTGTGTGTATATGACTACCTATGTTCATGGTTGTGTATGTGTGTGCTTCCTGGGACCTTTTAGGGACAGTAGTCATCTTTTTTTTTTTTCCTTTACCAAGCATAATTAAATTCTGTAGATCTCTTAAAAGTAAAATAAGATCGTCTCCCTCTCTTATAAAAAACTTTCAATGTTCTCTTATTTCAGGTAGAATAAAGTTCTAAACTTTAGCGATGGCCTTTCACGTGTTCAGTAAAGTCCAGCCAAACTGATCTTTTTTCTATTCCAGGCTCACTTCTGCCTTAACACTTCTGTGTATGCTATTCCCACTTTGGGAAGCTCTATTCCCACATTGTCACGTTCTCAAAGAGATCGTTTCTGACCATTGAATATAATTAAGTCACCACCCCCTCCTTCAACCCCAGCATTGCAGGCACCAGGCACTCTTTTTTACTTTCTTCATAGCATATATTATTATCTGGAAATGTGGCATTCATTTACACATTTGATTGCATATTGCCTGCCACTCATCAAGTTAGAATGGAAGCTTCTTGAGGGCTAAGCCTGTCTGTATTGTTCACAGCTATCCCATAACTTGGGGCCCATAGTAGGCTTTCCATAACTATTTGTGGATAGAAAGAATGCATAAATATTGAAGACATATACACTATGAGGCATTGCTTCCCACAGTTGAGCTCAAAATATTATTTTACATTACTACATTAAATAGCACACTCTTCTTTATTGACTATATGAACTTTAAAATTTAGGAAACCTTATACTGATATGTGCCCTATTTAATATATTTAAAGAGATCAAGGTCTTGACAACACAACCAATACAAATATTACAAGGGAGGAGTTGCAGTGCTTAATGTTATGGAGTTTCTTTTTGAGTACTCAAATCTAGAAGCAGAATCCTGGGAATTTTTTTTCTCAGTCACTAGCATTCAAATTCCACATATTTCATTCAGGCAACAAGGGGTTAAAAAAATCAGCAAAGGGTATTGGTGTAGAATGGTTGTCTCTTTCAGGGTTAATAATTTCATTATTTGCATGAAAAAGGATCAAATTTTTTATTGCTGCTTTTAGCAGGGATGTACACATTCTCAGACATCTGCATACAAGTAAAAACTTGAGTCAACGTCTAGCTGCTTCCAAATATCTATACCTTTGATGTTGCACTGATGCAACCTCAGAGATTTCATGATCAATCTTAGCAGGGCCACAGGGCATGGGGATCCAGAGTGTAAAAGTGCCTTCTGTGGACGTTCTTTACCCATGTGGTATCCTCTGTAGATCAGAGGCACTTTGGCTGGCACTGTGAATGTGGAAAACACATGTAGAAGCAATAGGAAAAGCAAAATTCCATTAAAATCAGAAGCAGATATACTAAAGGGTAATCATAAATTACTGACGTGTTTTCACTGACTACATGGAGTTTTATATTATAGTAAATATAGCTTACATTTCAGAACTTTATAGATTTTAATCTTCCTATTATTTGTTGCCAACACAACTAGTCAAAATTTGTAGTTTTAACACACAGTTATAAGTACCAGCAGCAGATACCAGATTTGTATATCGTGGACTTTAACAAATTGGTATACTTATCTAAATCCAGTGTTTAAATAGAAAATCTGCTAATGAATGTCAATTTTACAAAACTTCTCCAAAGTTCAGAAGTTCCACAGCATGTTGGAAGTTGATAGGTAGAGTTGTGTCTTGTGGAATGTTCCATGAAATGTGTATACAGACTATTACAAAATATGTTTAGTGCACCTGGAAAAGGCTAAGAGCATAGCATTCAATGAATCAAAATAGAGTCCTAGTTCAGTATTTGCTAGTGGCCCTAATGGCTCCAAGATTAAAATATTGTCTCACTGAGTCTCAATGTGTTTCAGAGATATATAAATCCCTACATACTTCTGTGTACCTTTAACAATCTTCAGCTCTTTGGCATGATCTCAGTGAGTGTTCATACTGTTCCTGAGTTTTAATGAATAGTTTTATCATCTTGGTTCTAGTCTATCATTAACCTCATCACGTTTTCTATGCTTTAAAGGGGCCAGAGCCTTGACAATCTCATCAAAGTGACCCCTGAAGTGAACAGAAGTAACCCAGGGTGAGGATTATATCATATCTTTCTTCCTTCCCATCAATTTGTGCATCAAATTCTGCATCAATTTGTGGCTCTCATTAGAGAAGCTATGCTGAAAAATCTGTGGAGTCAGAAAGTCTGAGTTCCATTACTTACTGGCTGGGTGCCTTGGAGCAAGTCCCTCGAACACTGAGCTGAGGCTTCTTTAGTTATAAAATGAGGATCATAATGTCTGTTCCACCTTTGTCATTTGATTATTAAGGATCAAGTGCAATAATGGATATAAAATCCCTTTAACGCAAGAAGGCACTACAAATGGAAATTATTAACAAAATATAGTTTAATTATAGCTATAGGATTATGTAGAATACTGAAAGGGGCTGGCCAGGTGAGAGTTTTTGGCAAATAGTTCCAGAATTGATCTTTTTAACTCAATCTTGCCCTAATTTTATGGTTTTATTTTGACTGTAAATGGGAAACTGAGCTAGTATACCAATGATTTGTATAGAGGTCAAAATTTTTACTCTTTTTTTTTTTTTTTTTTTTTGCGCTACGCGGGCCTCTCACTGTTGTGGCCTCTCCCGTTGTGGAGCACAGGCTCCGGACGCACAGGCCCAGCTGCCATGGCTCACGGGCCCAGCCGCTCCACGGTATGTGGGATCCTCCCGGACCGGGGCACAAACCCATGTCCCCTGCATCGGCAGGCGGACTCTCAACCACTGCGCCACCAGGGAAGCCCAAAAATGTTTACTCTTTTAAATGAAGGGCGTAGACTGGCATTGATTTCTCTCAAAACCTAATCGCAAAATTCATCTTGAGTACGTATATCCTTCAAAGTATTTAGTTGACTTAATTCCATTTTTACTTATTATGTTTTTGTTTGCTTTTTTGTTTAAAGTTCCAAAGACCTCAGTAACCTCATCAAAGTGAACCCAAGAACAGGAAAAAGTGTGCAAGGGCAAGATTGAATACACACCTCTTTTTTTGTTTCACATTAACCAATGCTTAAAAACGTTATTAAATCATCATTTCAGCAGACTGACACTGCTATAGTATCAATGTATCAATGGTAGTTCAAGAAAAACCATGGAACCCCCATGACCTTTTTTGGGTTTTGTTTGTTTGTTTGTTTGTTTTGCGGTACGCGGGCCTCTCACTGTTGTGGCCTCTCGCGTTGCGGAGCACAGGCTCCGGACGCGCAGGTTCAGCGGCCACGGCTCACGGGCCCAGCCACTCCGTGGCATGTGGGATCCTCCCGGACCGGGGCACGAACCCGTGTCCCCTGCATCGGCAGGCGGACTCTCAACCACTGTGCCACCAGGGAAGCCCTGCTTATTAATTTTTTAACACTATTTCATTGGACTGATGTGAGGATTAAATCATATAAATCACGTAAATCACTTAGAACAGTGCCTGGCACATCATGAATTTTCTGAAACCATTAATTATTGTTTATTATTTCTATGCAGTTATCGTTAGGTCCAAATATATATTTTCAGAGTCAACACTGAAAAACTCCAACCCCTTGAGATGATCTCTATTTTAATAAACACTTTATAGTAAAATATTTCTATAATAAAAATGTTTCTCCATTTTAATAAATATTTGAAACCACTTGATGTAAGTTGACCATTTCTCTGATCATTTCTTCCATGTTTTAAAGGGGCCAAAGTCTTGACAATCTCATCAAAGTGGCTCCAGAAATAAACAGAACTAACCAAGGGTGAGGTTTATGGAACTTCTTTCTCCATTTTCTTCTATTCAACCTCGAAAATATGATAAAACTCATTGTCCCATCACAGAGACAGCCAATAATGGGACCCAAAATCAATACCTCTATGTCAGAAACCTAGTCTTCAAGTCCTTATTCAGGGCTCCCTGGTTGTGGATATTTGTGGAGGAATTCCTTAAAATATGGGAATAATCTCTTATCAGTGTGGGATTTGTGTTCCATGTTTGGGATTTCCTCAAAATGAATCGAGTTTCCTCCTGGGATGAAGTATCTTCCCCATACAATTTCTTAGACATAAGCAGCCTAAGAGAAGGTCTTCATGTGAAGAAAATTCTCCTTCCTTTATCCTTCATCATTTTTTGCCTCTTCTCTTATGTTTACACTCAAACAATTCCTAAAGTTGGGAGGTTATTTTTTAAAATTATACTTAGTTTATTGAAATAATAACGAATACAAAGAATGACATTTGTCTTTTATAGAGAGAATTTTCTTTAAGGTACATCGTGTTGAGTAAACAGAGATGTAAAAAAAATCACGAATCTATAAATATATATTGTTACGCTAGTTTGAATGCGAGTTAAATATAAAAGATACCAAGGTATATATTTCCTTTCTGACAGATATTCTATCTTACTTGGTGTATAGGAATTCTATTTTTACAGTAGGTAGATATCATATAAAGTTTATTAGACGAGATCAGGAGTCAGAAAGTTTTGCTTAAAGAGCTAGGTAGTAAATATTTCAGGTTTGGGGGACCAAAACAGTCTCTTTTAACTAGTCAACTAGCAACCATTGATAATACATTGTGAAGGAATGGGCATGGCTGTGTTCCAATAAAACTTTACTTATATAACAAGACTACAGGCTGAATTTAGCCTGAGGACCATAGTTTGCTGACTCCTGGACTAAACAGTATTTCATGTGGGTGAGTGAAGAGGATCAACTCTGAATGTACTTGGAACAGCTTCTGAAACAAAGCCTCCCTTGCATATCTTGTTTTATTCACTTTATGGTTGGACCAAAGATTTTATCATTCTTTTATCTGATTATTTAGTGCTAAATTGTCCTTAGATTTTGTTCACTAAATAAGAACATAACGCATTGCCACTGTCTGAGGGTCAGGTACTGAATCCAGAGACCATGTAATACTTCATGTTACAGATAAAAGAGTCAATGAAAGACAGCTATCCCTTGTCCCTCTTCCAAGATGACTTAGTTTGTAAAGTGAAGATGGCCTTAATGATATGACCTTTCCCGTGCAGTGTGTGAGCCTCGTTTCAGTCCCCACCCTCTGCCATGTATTGCATTAGGTCATGTGTCCATCTCTTCTACTTGGTAGTAAAATTTTTGAATTCAGAGAATACTTATTAGCTGTATAATCTTGGACACATAGTTTAAACTCCTTTAAGCCTCAGCTTCTTTATCTGTAAAGTGGGGATTGTAAGAATTACCTTCTTCATGAATTACCAGAAAAATTATATGCTAGCAAGCTTATGAAGCACTTATTCCTCGAGTACTTATTAGATATTATCTATTGGTATTATTATTACTGTTACTGTTTTTCTTCATTGTTGGATCCTCATTGCACCACTCAATGCTGAGTTCAAAGAAGATACCAAAGAAATTATCTGTTAGGTTGGATTTTATGAAATTGTGACATTCAATAATTTTTGATCCACAAGAGGACAATTTCATATAGTTCAATATAATAGAATGCAATAATTTACATGGAAGGATTTGTACATGATAAAATTAGTTTATAGGTTAATCCTAAAGATTAGTTCAGGGATATAAGCCTTTCCAGTCTTTTTTCTTTTCAGGTTGTATAACAAATTGTCCAATAATAAGGTATATCAAATTAAGCATCTTGTTCAGGCCTTCTGGTGTTAGAGTTGGTATGAAGGCCCAGTACGATAACAGAAACGTCTCTTTAGAGCTATTATTGACTATTTGTTTAGAATAAAAGCAAGTTATATAATCTGAAGTCTTCCTTGTTCTGACTTAGCATTGCATGAAGCATGATTCTGAACTGATTAATATCTTGGAGTAGCCTGAATGTTACATATTAATATTATGTATATTACCTCCATACCTTAGAATCAGGAAATAGCCTCTTTTTTAAAAAGTCCCAGGTTTTTGTTTTGTTTTGTTTCGAGGGGAGGGAAGCAAGGAACACGTGCAAATGACCAACAGCTTAAATTTTTCTCTTGTTCATTACAATCATCAAAAATATTCTTGGAAAACAAGGAGTTTACGAGCAATTTAAATTTGAGGTTGTCTTAAAAGAAATAAGAATAAAACTAAATTAAATTTTCATATATATGTAGTTGTGTAAGAAATGAATTGATAGTAGCCACCTGCTTTTACAGAGGGCTAAAAAAAGAACTCAAGATGAAGTTTTGAATTAACAACAATCACTTGATTCAATATTAAGATTGAAAAAAAATGTACAAATTGTAATTGATTTGACTTGATTTTACCCCCTTATTGAAATTTACAACATTTTTTAGGAACCAGGATCTGAACCATCTTATCAAAGTGACTCCCTCAGCAAAAAAAAGGTAAGCTTATTAAGATTATTGAAGACTCGTGAGCAAGTCTTCAATTTATGCCCCAGAATAAGATTATTTGGCTAAGGACATTTGAAAGGGGACATGAAAAAAATGAGAACAAATTGATTTGTTGTGTATAATAATGGTAGATAGATTTTTTCTTTTATTGTGTTGCTTCAATTTATTACATTATAATATTGTTCAAATTGTAATACTGAAGCAAATTCTGTTTAATGACTATTTGAGAAATTCACTGGACACAACAGTAGCGTAAGTAGGTTATTACTGCAAGTTTATAGTAAATAAACTATAAGTTCATAAAACTGAATAAACCAAAGAATATTGGCTTTCTTCTCTTTCACAAACCCAAGGATTAATAAAAATTAAATGACTCTTCAGAAAATTGGTGACATAACATTCTAATACTTGATTAGAATATTTCTACATGATTTTGATTATACTCCTGTCTTCTTGAAAAGTTAAGACCCATCATTCACTGGAGCAAAAGTTAAGAAAAACGTGACAGAGTAACTCCAAGCTACCTCTCAAGATTATTATGATGATAATGTTGGTGAAAAGCGTTGTGCAGATGTAAGAAATTATTGTGAATAGAGAGAGGAAGGATGTTAGCAGAAGGGAGCATGTGGTTTGGGGTCCAGCTATGGTTTCAATCCTAGTTCACCCTCAGTCATTTCTTAGGTATCTGGCCCAAAGAGGGTCTTAATTTCTATGAAACTCAATTTATTTATAAAGAGAGAATGGTAATATTTAACTCAGTTGTTTTGAGGATTTAAAAAAGATAACTAATATAACTAATATATATAAAGTAGAAACTCGGTAAATTTATCACTTTTTGTCTAGGATCCCATGGAATGATTCACAAGCATCAGAAGAAACAATGCCAGCCATTGTTTCTGATTTCCAACTGAATTTGACCTTTTATTTTATTTTGTTTTAGCAGTGAACAAGATCTTGATGAACTTATTAACGTAAGCCCCAAAGCTGTCAAAAACACAGCCGGGTAAGAGAAGGATGTGATTTATTTACTTTGCTTTGTTTCTCCCTAACTAAGTACAATTTGAATATAAATGACTTGTAATCATTCTATGGGCAAACTGAATATAAATCTTGAAAAGTCATCACAAGTTTTATATGTCCCTGAAAACTTAGATATCTATTTGCTAATGAAAAGAAAGGCAGCTCAAGTAAAGCAATTGAAGGGAGTGATTGGGGTAGAAACATAGCTAGTCTATGCCCTGTTCATGTTTTGTAGTATTGATGTTAATACCTTTGTCTCTGGATTTGGTTAAATTTATGAATGATAGTTAATTTTTTGAAAAGAGCTGGACACCTCATTAGTTGTAAGCAATACCATTCACCTCGTTTTCAGAGGGTGTTTTCTAGTAGTCGGTGGAAATTTTATGAGGTTCATTATTTCTTAGATGGTTTGCTGCTCGCAGCAAAGTAATGTATCTAAAATTTGATAATTCTTTAAGTAGTATCTATAATGATGAAAATGAAATTCACTTTTTGTCTGGTTATATGAAGATTTTTATATCATTATACACTACTATTATATGTATGTACGTATATATTTATATATATATATTTAAGAATGTTTTTATGATTTCACTTTTTTGAGTTTAACTGGTATGTACAAAAATTGCAAAACTTTGGAGATGGAAGGAAGGAACCTCAGAAAACTCATAGCCCAGTTACTATGAACACTTGCAAACCACTGTTCCAGTCAAACCTATTCTATTTACAGAAGAGGAAATTAAGACTCAGAAAGGTTAAGTGATGTGACCAGTGTCACAGAGAAAACTAGTGGAAGACGAATAGTAGTTCTGTGATCTGTTAGGCGGTGAATAATTACTGAGCACCTACTGGGTTTGAAGCTTACAGCTAGGTATCATTAGGTGCACATTAGGTATAATTATAGGCCGTGGATGCCAAAAAGAGAATTCAGTAGACATACTCAATCTTATTAATAGCAAGCAATTATCATAGTTTAAAGCTAATTATGTATTGGGGGCAAAGAGATGGGACTCCAAGACAATAATAGGTTGTCAATTTAATATATTACATTTTGGGACGCTTATGTACTGCTTGCTGAACATAGAATGTATTGTCAGTGAGTTGCATTTAAAAAGAAAAGGAGACATGAAATAGCTAATAAACACGACAGGCAGTAAAATTCACATTCATAGATTCCTAGGGGTAGAAGATGTTAGAGATGGGCAGAGGCTTAGAGATGAACAAATCCAATCTCCCAGTTTTACAAATGAGAACACTGAAGTATTCGGGGCAAAAGTCTCATAATCTTCTGTGAGTTCTTCCAACTCCCAGCCCAACTCCTGGTCTTTAAATCACAGCATGGAGACTTTGATCTTAAAATAGGTGAAAGTTGATTCAGTACCTCAGGAAATAGTGGAAACTATCAAGCTAGGACTTTTGCTCCTGCCATGGGACAGCCTGGAGATGTTCTCTACTACTTTCATAGGGTCACTTGAAATATTACTTCACAGTCTTTGAAGTGACAATGGCACAAATTTGTGCCAATGACCGCAAAACACTTTACAACTTTTGAACTACGTGAAAATAATAATAGCTAAATATTTCAATGTATCCCTATATCCTTAAAGCAAAATAAATGAAAGCAGTAACTTGAGTAGGAAAAACGTTACATTTTTCCTGGATAAAATTTAGATATAAGACTCCTGTGTTTGTAGGATCCAGGGTCTGAAAAAAGCGTCTGTGAGTTTTCAATTCATTAAGTTGCATGATGCTATCAGTCAAGGCAATTCAGGACTGTTACTGAGATCCTAGCTTTATTGACCCAAGGTGTCGTCTTTTTAAGAGAAGTGGTAAAACATAGCACGCGTTTATATATATGTTTTCTAAGCTAGTGTTTCTCAAATTGTGGGTCACATCCCATTAAATGGTCTTGTAATTAATTTAGTGCGCGGCAGTCAGCATTTTTTCCCGGTTAGCTAGAGTGAAGTAGAGCAGAAAACATGAGAGTTCTTACGTAGTGGGTGTCTTATTTTGTGAAATTTATGTTTTATTATGTGCGTGTGTCTGTCTGTCTGACTGAAAACAGAAAGTATTGGGCTGTGATGTAAATTGTATTTTTTAATGAGCTCTATGATGTAGTAGTTTGAATAGCACAGTTCTAAGATTTGGAATGAACCAAGTTTTCTGTACTGAGCAGAACAGTAAAAATGGGAGTTCTCATGTTTCTGTTTGCATTTTTTTATGCAGCTTACTCCTAATTATGCTGGTTGGTGAATATTATATGTAGTTACACTAAAATTTTGTGATTGATTTTATGTATTAAAAGGTTGTGGCCTTTGACATATTATTTCCTCTACAAAGTTTTATTTTTTGTACTTTTTTTCTTTTAATGTATGAAATTATCCTCATTTTAAAGATCGTCTTTCAGGCACAATTTAACTTTATAACAGGTTTTTGTAATCAATTTATACAAGAAAATTTTATTTTGGATAGTTGTCATATGTTTATCATTTCTTTGATAGTGTTTGTAGATACCAGCTGATTATCTTTAATTGATAATATTACTATTGAAGATAATTCAAAACAGTAAACATTCATTTAGGGGCTTTCTGTCTACTGTGGAGATCTGAGAACAAGGATGAAGAGATCAAACTCAGTGAAGCCATGAGCTGGGAAGCAAATTCTATGGAAAGGCTTAGGGGTTGGGGAAGGAAATGCAGACCTTTTTCTCAGGCTTTGATGACTAACCTCTAAGTGGCTCTCCTTCGGTTCCTAACCTTGCATCAGTCTTTTTGAAGAGTAAACCATACTTTATTTTTATATAAGGGAAAAGGACTTTTGGGGGGAAGAAGGTACAGGCAGGTAGCTGCCAAAATTTACTGAAAGCAGGTGTTATCAATCCCAAGATTTCTTGCTATTGTGGGCTCTTCTGTGAATAAATATTATAAAGCGGTTTAGAGGAACACGTTGAAAAATCACTACTTTCCAGCCCTTAGAAGCAAAGTATTATACAGAGGCAATGAGTGATAGCAAACCAGGTGGGAGGAAATACTGTTCTCCGACTGAGGAAAGAAACTGATAGGGTTTCAACTAGGAAGTGTACAGTTATCAGAGTATGTCCCTAATTTACCATGATTTCAGCTTTTTAAGTCATGGTAGAGGAAAGAAAAGTCACAATTTTGATGGATTACTGGAACTCTCTTTGCCAAGACTTATGTTAAGTATAATCCTAGTTTGGGAGTTTCTTATTTTTTAAAAAAATGGTATATTTAGCTGGTGAATATGATTTTTAAAATATCAAGGACCTTAGAATCAGTTTGTATCGTCATACTGTTAAAACATTCCAGAGTAAAAGTGGTCAATCATGAGATGTTTGCTGTGAACTCTGAGTTAGTGTGACCTTGTAGATGGGCTCTGACAATAAGTGTGTGAAGTCAGAGTAATTCTTCTCCTGATCCAACATAATTAGTCCTCCCTGGATTGGTTTGAAAATTTATTTCAAGGGGGTTCTATGCCAAACCAATATGTCTTATACTAAATGATAAACTAGCTAATCCCTTCTTCCAATTCCAGCCACCTTAAACCTGTATTATCTCTAACACAAGCTGCTTTAATTTTTTTTTCCATTTGAAGAAATCAAGATCTTGATAAGCTCATCAAAGTGAATCCTGAAACTCTCTCCAACAACCAAAGGTAATAGAACTGTATTAATTTTTGTGCTTTGGGTAGGAAGAATGTTTTGTTTTATAATTATTTCAAGCACATTTATAACCTTAATGATCTTACCAAAAGAATTTATTTATAATTAACGTGCTTGCATTTTATTTTTCTTTTTAAAGAAACCGGGATCTCAATAACCTCATCAAAGTGAATCCTGAAGTAATCAGAAGCAATCAAAGGTAATCAAATAAAAACAGTCATTTCACATTCTCATGTCTGTTGCCCCTGAGTGGAGTAGATTTATTATATTGCTTTATAGACCTAGCACAAACAAAACAACCTATCACTAATTGGAGTTTATTTTTTTCTCTTTTGAACAGCCAAGCTTTGGACAATCTTATTGAAGTGAAACCTTCACCTCTCAGAAATACTAAGCGGTAAATGACTTTGCCTAACTATCTTGACATGCATTTAAAAAAGAACCCAAGGTTCTAGGTTAGGAATTTCCTTTCTTGCTCGCTTTCTTGCTTTCTTTCTTCTCTTTTTCTAAAAGAAGGCTTTCGTTTTTCTTGAGTGTTCAAATGAGCACACATTTATAACCCATGTGTTTCCTGTCCGCCGAGAATATGCTATACTCTTCTGGAATCAATTGCACTCTTTTGGACTCAGTTTTGTACTTCTAATTTTCACGAAGACAAGTTAGGGTTTGTTGCCTATAGGAGATAGAGTATCAGGACTGATATGAAAAATGAGTGAAATTAAATAAGAGGAAAACATATTTTGGAGAAGCTGGACCAAATCGGTGGTTTACACAGATGCCTACAGAGCATTGGAGCATTGGAAAGGATATTCAGTCTTCAAAATTACAGATCTACAGCTCATGTGGGCTCACAAAATATTCCAGCAGATTTTAACCTTGAACTTCCATTTTGAGTTTTGTAAATATCTTATAATTCACTATCTTTATGTCATATCTTTCACCAAAAGAGCTTATTGATAATGCACCAGAGTGCGTTGTATGAGAAGCCCAGATTGTTCTGCTGACCTGAAATTTTGCCATAATATATAGCTGGGAATTAAAGTCTCAAAATTCTGGGGTGAAGAAAGCAAATTAACATATGGAAAAGTGCTTTGAAGCCACAGGGAGAAAGAGGATAGTGTGACATGCTCATCGGCCTAAATCTTATGGCTTTTTGTTTCCTACATTAGTGGTTCTTTTTTTTTTTTTTTGGAGTATAATTGCTTTACAATGTTGTGTTAGTTTCTACTGTACAATGAAGTGAGTCAGCTGTCTGTATACCTATATCCCTTCCCTCTTGGACCTCCCTCCCACCCCTCCCCCCCCATCCCACCCATGTAGGTTGTCACAGAGAACCGAGCTGAGCTTCCTGTGCTTTATAGCATGCTCCCACTAGCTATCTGTTTTACACATGGGAGTGTATATATGTCAATCCTAGTGTTTTAATTTGCCTTTTCTGTTTGTGTGTTTTTATCACAAGGTGTTGGGGTGTCTGAGGTAGGAAGGTACCAAGGCAATTGAAGAGCAATTGCTAATTAGAGAGCAGTATTTATTGAACACCTCTGGTGTGCCTGGCAATTTATATACATTTAATCCTCACAACAACCAGCCCCATGAGAAATATATTCATGCATGCTATTCTATAGAAGAAGAAACTATAGCTCAAAGATATAAAATAAACTTCTCAAGAAAGAAAACACATCCTGGATCTAAACCCAAGTCCTTCTGATGTCACTGCTGGAAGAACAAAAGATCGGGAGCAAAAAACCCTCAGATTTACCCCTTCTTTCTGTCCTTTATTCTCCTAACAGTCCCTTCCTTTCTAATTCCCCTCCCACCCCTGCAGTTAAAGGACTACAATTAGATACACTTTTTTTCTAGAAAATTATTGTGGAAATGACAGAGAGGAGAGGAAGATTTGTCTTATAGAGATTTTCTAATAACTGAAATAATAGCAGACTTTTGGTGCCGACCCTGCCACTGGTAAGCGTATGGAAATATCTTTGATAAGTAGAAGCATTTCTTCAGAGTGTACTGGTAGGGGCAGATTTTTATTTTTATTAGTAACAGTTTTAGGAGGTTCCCAACCCATGTTGGAAGTGGTTAGGTTTAACAAGTACGTATGGAATAACTAACAGTGGCTACTGTAGCCAACTTCTCCCTTAGCGGCTGTTTCCATAAACTGTAGCGCCCTCTGTCTGTCTCTCTCTCTCCCCCACTTCTGTTCCCTCCTTCCTCCTCTCCCTCCTCCCTTTCCCCTTCTTCTGACTTTTGCCTCCTTCCCTTCCTCCTTCTGCAAATGCACTATGTTGACAGATAATGGTAACTTTCTCATAAGAGTTTTGCCTTTTGTTTATTAGAAGAGGCTAATTTCATAAAAGTAATTTGTATTTCAGCAACTCCTAACAAAGTATCTATAAGAAGAGGACATTTTCCTTATACAGATAGGATTACTATAAAAAAGAAATTTAAAAATATTGACCATCATGTTGTTTTCAGATGGCAGCCTTTTCTAAGGATTTATTTTTAAACTTTTTATTGAGGTATAGTTGATGTATAATATGATATAAATTACAGGTATATGATATAGTGATTCACAATTTTAAAGGTTATACTCCACTTATAGTTATTACAAACTATTTGCCACATTCTCCATATCATAGAATATATCCTTGTAGCTTATTGTATACCTAATGGTTTGTACCTCTCAATTGCCTACCCCTATGTTGCCCCTCTCCCCCTTGCCTCTCCCCACTGGTAACCACTCGTTTGTTCTGTATATCAGATGGCAGCTTGATCCACAAATCTAACCTAAGTGATGTCTGACTATTCTTTAGTAGTTACACCAGATTTGATGATAATCAGCCAGGATGTTCAAGAATTACTGCAGAACAAACAGGAAAGACTAAGCTGCCTATTTGAAAAAAGTGACTTCATTCAATATGTTCAGTCACCTGTATCTGCAATGTATTTATGTGGCCCACTTGATTTTAATGGGTAAAGAGAGGGGGCATTTTAACATGACTCCCAGTAGGAATAACAGCCACAAGGCACTTTTACATCCAATTCAATGTGACAGGAGCACTGATTATTTAATAGTATAACAGCAGTGAATCAGAGTTCCTTTTATGTGACTTTGCTGACATTTCCAGCAGCTGTATATTTAATTCACAGTTAGGGGTGGAATAAATTTCAGTCATGGATCAGAATGTAAGCAGGTGTCCCTGAGCTCTTTCTAGGAACACAACAACTTGAGCAAATGCAGATGTGTACAGAATTTTCATTTATTCAGGAAGAAACTGTGAATTTTAGCAATGACAGTTTCACATTTTCATGAACCAACATTAAAGGGGGATATTCAATTATCGGTAGCCTATAAACTGCTGCTCCCACGTAAAGATTGAAAAACATCTAGTGATACAGGTCTTTACAGTTAGAAAAGGCAACCTTCATCTAAAGCAGAAAAAATATTCTGAACTATTTGTAGTATTATACGGCCATCTTTATAAGGGCTTCCTATTTGCTAAGACATACCTTGTTAATATCCCAATAAGAAGTTTCCTTCCTATCTTCCTATTGAATATTTCTCATACTTCTGCTCAAGACAGAGCGCTGGAGGTGGGAGGTAACCTTGACTCTTTCCATTGCTTCATTCCCCATAATCAGTAGGTCACTCTGGATGCTTCTCCTAGTGATCTCAGGAACCGAGACATTTCATCATCCCAACTGCTACTATGGCCCAGCTTACTGTTAAGTCTCCTCACTGGTTCCTCTGCTGTCTCTGGTACCTTCTGCCCTTCAATCTGTCTGCCATGCTGTAGAGTGATCTTCTTAAAACACAAATCTGATCCTGTCCTTCCTCTGATGAAATCCTCCAGTGGCTTCACATTGCCACTGGACAACAGTGTACCCCTTAACCTGGTTTCCAAAGCTCGCCATGATGTTGCCTCCACAGGCCTCCCCAGCCCCATTCCTTATGCTCCACCCACAAGCAAAGCCCACCCACACACCCCCTGACATGAGCACGCCTCGCTCCTCTGTCATCGCTGCTGCATGGATAACTGCTACTTATCCTTTAGGTGTCAGCTTAGGTGTCTTTTACTCAGGCTCTGGGAAGCCCAACCTGACCCATCACTTCTGCATCAGGTCATTCTGGATGTTCTCAAGCTCTCTGTTCTTCTGTCCTATGGTATTTGTCTCTTGGCATTATTATTTAATAATCTCTCATCCACTATTGGATTTTTTAAGGGCAAAGATTGGATCTCTCTTGCTCATGTCTTTATCTACAATTCATGGCACAATGCTTGGCACGTATTAGGTGCTTAATAAGTATTCTCTGAGTTACAAACTAAATTTCAAAACTAATCAAGACCTGTGATCATCCAACTAGACAAAGCCCATTGCCTTATAACTCTAACACTCTGAGCCCCATGAGTGAAACTAGACTGGAGGGATCTGATATCCTATGACTTGTCTCCTTGCTTAAGCCAAAAACCCTATTTTGAAACATAATCTCAATGAACCATAGTGAATGAGAGCCACTGAAATTCTTGGTCATATCTTATATTTAAAATACCTAAATTGATCATTTTCTCTATGGACCTGTTAATTTCTTTAATATAAAATCTTTAAGACTCCCTCATTGAACAAATTATGAAAATATGTAAAGCTGGGACCATTTTGCAAATTCAGTAGAGTTGAAGAATTATAGCAGTTATCTCACTGTATTCTACACTCCCTTCAGAGAGATAAATATTCCTTTGAACTAAAGCTTAAAGCCTTAGTTTTAGTTCTTGGCATAAAAGAAGTACCATAGTAAATTTTCTATATGGAGGTTTTTAATTTTGCGAATGTGTTTGATACTCTGCAAAAACGATGTAAGTGAGCCGGAGAGAGAGAAACATATTGCAGCATTTGATAAATACCTCCCACACCTTCATAAGAGAGGAAGAGAAGTTGGGAGTGAGCTGATAACTTTCTTTCATGTAGAGCATATCCTAGGAAAAGTTGTGTTATAAGAGACATAATAAGCCTTGGTCCCCAGAATCTCTATTTTTTTCTTTAATCTGCTCTGCAAGGGAGTATTATATTCCTTAATGGGGCAGTAGAAAATAATTTACATGATTATAACATAGATAAATGTTCATATTCAAAATGTATGCTATGACTCTACATAACAGATAACTCATATCTTCTCCCAAACATTGTGTAGTCTATGTAAAGAAAAGCATTTTCAGTTGCTATGGTTAACAAAATTTCTTTTTAGCATTTCTCTCTGTATCCACAGAGAACTGGTGGTTTTTCTTGAAGTTAATTCCAACTGCTCATAAAATCACAAAATTATAAGGTCTTCCACTGAACTGCCACAGAAAAGGTTTGGAATCAAGCCTTTGTTTGACCCTGCAGCGTTTGGCTGGG